CCCCCAGGTCTACGTGCAGCACTTACTGAAGAGGGACAAGGAACACCTGTGGCAGCTGATCCACGAGGGCGGCGCCCACATCTACGTCTGCGGGTGAGCGAGGGCAGAGCAGGGGGAGGGACGAGGCCCACCCGCCCGCGGGGACCCCCTCACCCAGCGCCCCCTCCTTCCTGCCCCAGGGACGCTCGGAACATGGCGAGGGATGTGCAGAACACCTTCTACGACATCGTGGCCGACGGGGGGGCCATGGAGCACGCCCAGGCCGTGGACTACATCAAGAAGCTGATGACCAAGGGCCGCTACTCCCTGGACGTGTGGAGCTAGGGGCCGCCCGGCCTGCCTCTGCCCCTCGGGCCCCTGCAGACTCGCTTCCCCATGTAATCACTTCCCTCGCTCCCTTCTGCCAGTGTCCTGGGTAGTTTCTGCGCGGCCTCGCCCCCGGGAGGCAGGCCCAGGGACAGAGACTGGTCCGGGCCCCAGGCGCACATGGGCCCCCAGTCAAGAGTGTGTATTTTGTAAACCCCTCAGGCCCTTGGGGGCTGTACAGAAGGGACTCTTAGTTGAGCTGGGCCCCAACCCCCTCCACGTTATTTTCAATGACTGTAAATAATTTTAAATGATCTTTGGTCCTTGGAATAAAGTTCTGTTTTCGGTATTTCCTATTGCTTGGGTATATCCGGGGTCTCCCCCTGGGCCTCCTTAACTCAGAGCCCCAAGAGGCCGTGTGGGGGTGGCGCCGAGGCCCGCGCCTGACCCTTTGGAGAGCACACACCTCAAGCCACCTCTCTGCCACTCTTCCTTTATTCAGGCTGCTGGCCCCCGGCTCCCTGCAGGCCCGGAGCTCAGGCCCAGTCCTCTCCAGCGTCGCCTTCGGGGCCCACAGAGCCCACAAAACTCCAGGGAGAGCAGAAGGGACCCTCCCAGATGAGGGAAGCCCCCTACCCTCTCAAAGGGGACAGAAGCCCCTGCCAGGCCAGAGGGGCCATAGGGAGCTGGGTGGCCATGGCGGGCAGGCCCAGACTCATTCTTTCTTGCTCCCATGTCTTTGACTGTGGAATTTCTGGTGCACAACCCGCAAGGTGGTGAAGAAGTTGCCAAGGAATAGGAGGAGGAAGGGGAAGCCACACATGAGCACCTGGGGGGAGAAGCGGGGTCAGGACTGGGCCGGGCGCTGGCCCTCGCAGTGTCCTTCCTCCTCCCCGGGTCCCCGGGCTCACCTGCCACTCCTTGCACTCAGGGTCCTGGGCCAGGCTGAACAAGGTCAGCGCATTAAAAAGCTGCCAGAACTGGGGGGGGATGGAGGGTTTCAAACAGAAGCCAGTCTCCACGAGGGCCCACAGCCAGAACCGGGAGGCCTGGCCAGACACACCGGGGGGCAGAGACAACTTACGTGTCCAAAGAAAAGAAAGGGCAGCAGGAAGGTGAGGCCCCGCCACATCCAGGACTGGAAGCCCTCTGCAGGGAGAAGCGGGGGGGGGGGGGGCGGGGGAACACGGTCTCTCAGCCCCACATAGTCGGGAAAGGACGGGCCCTTCCCGGCCCCCGTTCAGGATTCCCGAGAGAGGAGGCCGTGCCCGGCTCACCCACAGTGAGGTCCATGGTGTGCCTCTCGCCCAAGGCCCGCAGGCGGTATAGACAGCCGCTTTGGTAGTAATACTGCAGGAACTGCACGAAGCCTGGGGGTGGGGACAGCGGAACTGGGCTGGAGCTCACGGTCCTTGGCACCCCCTCCCCGTGGGGGGGCTCCCGAGCAGAGCAGGGCCCTCTGAGACACTCACTCTGGTACATGGAGAAGGACAAGAACTGGTTCCGGAACTTCTGGTACATGAGGCCGTCAGGCCTAAGGCAGAAAGCAGCGGGAAGGGGAGGGAGCTCAGGGACACCCTCTCTCTCTGCCCCGTGCTCCCCTGCACCCCCCACCCCCCAGGCCCTGGGAGCCAAGTCTGGCCACTCACCACGTCAGCATGACTCCCGACAAGAAGGTGGACACGTAATGATGGAAAACCCACCAGCCTTTGATCCTGTATCGGGAAGCCGCGGTCACTCCTGTCCCCTCGGCCCCGAGGATCGATGCACGGGGACGGGGAGCCAGGCTGCGGTGGGAGGAAGCCAGTACCCCGATCCCGGGCCTGCTCCTCCGGGACCCACGGCCCCCCGCCCCCCTGGGTCGCTCCAGTGCCCCACCCCGCCCCGGGAGCCCACCGGGAGCCCACCGGGAGCCGTTGTTGATGAGAATGCTCTCTCGGATGGTCAGCGTGCAGTAGTACCAGACCAGCAGGAAGTTGAAGGCGGCGTCCGTCACCCTGCGGAGGGCACAGAGGATGTGGGTGCCGGCGCCCACACGGAGCGGGGCGCGGCCCCGGGCAGCAGGACACCCACCTGGAGTTGAGCAGGAAGCGGCAGGTGAAGGAGATGAGGATGAGGATGATGGTGAGGTAGAGCTTGAACTTCTCATACTCGTCCTTGTAGGCAAACCTGGGTGGGCACACACTCGTGGCACAGGCTGGGGTGCCGGCAGGGCCCACCCTCGCCTCGGCCCGGAGGGAGGCTCCTGCTCCGGACGTGCTTCCGCAGGCGGCTCGAGGCCGGCACCCCGGGGGGCTGAGCCCGGGAAGCGGGGGCAGAACGGAAAGGACCCGGGAGGGTGGAGAGCAGGGTTGGGACCCAGCCCACGACAGCGAATTACTTAGCCTGCTTGCTCAGGAGTGTCACGTTGACATTGCCCAGAACCAGGCTCAGGTACAACCTAGGGGAGGGGGACACCAGGTAAAGAGAGGCCCCCAGGGAGAGGAAAGCCAGTGGCACAGAGCCGGGGACCCCCCGGCTTCCCACGGCAGCGGCTTAGGGTTCTGACCCGGGGGGTGCTGCACACCAGCTCCACAGGAAGGAAACACTGGGGCGCAGCCTTTCTGCCTGCTCCCGGGTAAACCAACATCCCCTCCCTCGCCTCCCCCCTCCCAGGGTCCCCCCCTTAGGGCCTCCAGGGTATCCCGTGGGAGCCATGCCCACAGCTCCTATTGTCCCTGTGGGCCTTGGGCAGGACTCAGTGCCTGTGTGCATGCCCACCCCGTCACCTACCCCCCTCCCCGGGTTCCCGCTACGTCCGAGAACCTTCAGCCCTGAGTCTGCCGCAGCACCCCGCACCATGGCCACACCAGGACCCCCTCGCAGCCAGGAAGGGCTCCCTCAGCTCAGAAACTGCTCGCACTCTGACTCCAAGTGCCCAGCCTCCCAAGCCGGTTTCAACAGGTGGACCCTGGCCCTCACTGAGGCTTCCAGGCCCCCGACCCCAGTCTCCTTTCCCAAGCCAGTTGAGTCCCCAGGCCCCCCTTCCACGACAGCCCCTTTCTTGTCAACCCCACCACCCCCAGCCTCTTGCCGCCGTCACTCCCACCGACGGAGCCTGTCTGGCCCTTCTCTGCCAGACGAACCCCAAGAGGTGACCAAGTCCCACGTGTGCAGGACGCAGCACACCCACACACGAGCTCCTGCTCACGCTCGGGCCGTTGGGCACAGGCTCAGAGTGGTTAAGGGACTTGCCCCAGGCCGCGAAGACACGCTGGGGTGCAGCGGGCACCTGGACTGGGCCGCCTCTCAGCATCGCCATCCCTGCAGAGGCCCTGTCAAACCCTCCCTCCCGGCTGACATCTCCGGGGGGCCCCCTCCTCACCGGCTCTAAACACCCTCCCATAGCAAATGAGAAGGGCCCACGCCCCGCCCCGCCCTTCCCACCTCCCCAGTGGTTTCCCTTTGCTGGGTCTGTGCTCCAAGGGCCTGCGCTCTCGGCAGGGAGACGTGCTCCAGTCTTCCCTGGGTACCAAGTAACACGGACCCCTGAGCACAAGCCTCCCCCCGCCCCCACACGCACGAGTTCCACTCGCTGGTTTCGCCTTCTGCTCCCAGCCAAGCTTTTGAAGAGCTGCCTACACTCGCCTGTCCCCCCATTAGCCACCTCCACCTCCACCAACCTGCAGAGCGCTCCTCTCCCTGACTCCGGCAGACACCGCCCCTTCTGTATGGCTCCTGACCACCCCCACCACCGGCTGTCTGGTCTGAGGCTATCAGCTGCTCCTTCCCCCCACTCCGCCGCCCTCTGGGACATGCTCCTTCCCAGCCGTCTTGCTGCCCCAGGCCTCCGCTGGATGATTTTCACTCACCCTAGGGTTGTGCCCTGGCCCCTGCCATCCCCCTCGGTGACCGTGGCTGGCCTAAGGGTCGCTCTGCCCAGCCTACTGGGCCCGAGGCCAGCTCCGAAGCCTGGCTTCGCCTCTGGTCTCATTCACCAGCCCCCACCCTGAGCTCTGGCCACACGCGCCGTTTCCACCCTCCCGTGCCTGCCAGGCTCCCTCCTTGATCCTCTACGCTTTCCCTGACCTCCAAGCTGGGCGAGGAGCCCCTCACTGTGCTCCTCCATTCCCTGTCCTTCCGCCACAAAACACCCATCTCCGTGAGCTGTCACCATCGCTTGAGCTGTCCCCCCAGCCTGACTGCTCAGCCCACAGTGGGTCTAGGCACCATCTGCTGGCCAAGTGACCAAGCAGAGGAGACCACGCTTCAGGCCACTCTCCCAGGGGCGTCTAGGAACTGAGCTTGGGGGAGGGGGGGTCTCACCCATTCTTCTTGGGCAAATAGGCCTCCATATCGAAGAAGAGGCCCTGGCGCTCCTTGATCTGGTTCTCCAGCTCCTGGGCAGCCTCCTTGGCCCCCCACTGAAGGGAGGGTTTGCATCTGTAGGTGGGCCCACGGAAGCCAGAGTCAGAGAAGCCCCCCCCCCCCGCCCCGTATCACACCTGACACCTGCGGGGCAGGAGGCGAACATGGCCCAGCAGGGGGAGAAGCCATGCCCTGGGACACTCAAGGGTGAGTGCCTGCTCTCCCCCCACCCCAGATCTGACCCCCAGCCCTAGGCCAGGGGGTATTGGAGGCTTGGGGGAATCAAGGGCGGGGCGGGGGGGGTCCTAACTTCTTTAGGACAAGAGCCAGCTCCTGGAGCCGCTTCTTCTGCCGCGTGATGGCGCTGGTACAACCGTTCTGCAGCTTGGTCAGCTCCTCCAGCTTCAGGCGGTACAGCCGGTGGGTCTCCTGGGGCAGTGGGCGGGGGACCAGAGTGAGCAGGAGCCTGCTGGGCAGAAGGTGGGGCACGGACTCCCCCCGGGCTCTTTGGGAGGGTCTGAGCAGGAAAGGAGGCAGCCAGCCGAGGGACTCCCTGAGGTTGCCCTCTCCCCCAGGCAGGCCAAGAGATGGGGCTCCCCCTGCAAGCCCAGAAACAGCACCCCTGTCCCAGAAGCAGACTAGGTCCCAGAGACTTTGTTTCATCTCAGCCCACCTACTAGCTGGCCCCGCCCAGATCTGTGCCACCCTGAGTTCGGATTCCAGGCACAAGGGTCTACCTTCTGGACCAGTCAGGTGCCTTCAGGCAGCCACTCTGCTTCTCTGCGATCCTCCTGCCTACCCAGGCTGCTAGTGCAGAGGGAGCTGGGGTTGTCCAAGCAGCCTGCCGCTCTGGCCCTCCCAGCATCTGCCTCCCAAGTTAAAGGTCATCAGGCTTCAGCCCTTAGAATTCCTGCCTTTAAGACCAGTCCTTTTACCCCTCCCCCAGCACCTTTGGCCCAAAGCCTCCCAGAGCACTTTGCCCTGGTGGGTGAGTTTCCAGAAAAGCAGCCTGGAGACAACAAAGGGCAGTGTGAAGAAGGTCAGGAAGGGGTGGCCAGGCTGGGAAAGTAGGTCTGCCCTGCTCAGGACTGGCAGGGGCACGAGTGGCGGCAGCGTTAGCCTGGCCAAGGAACGGCAAGGCTTCAGTGCAGACAGGAAGGGGCTGGAACCAGTCCAGGAGAGACAAAGGCATGACCGAATACACAGCTAGCCCAGGCTCTACCCTTTCCAGGTCTTGTTTCTCGTGCCTTAAAGGGGCCACCACACCCCTTCAAAACCCAACATGAGCCACATCTGTCTACCCCTACCAACCACTTTCTCCTGGTGGAGACCAGCAGCCTTCTCCCCTGCTGGGCTCCCCACAGAACGGCACAATGGTCCACACAAGCCAGATCCCCACGATTCCTCCCATGGCTCGCCAGTGGTATCAGAAAGGTTCCAAGCCCGTCCGGGCCCATGAGGTCCCTACAGGGTCTGGCCCACCCACTTCTCCCCTCCCTCTCCTTCCAGCACCCACATAACCCTGCCTTCGTGGGCGCTGTCCTTCAACCTGGACGGGGCCCCGCCCCCATCCAGGCACTTCACCTAACCACCACTTCCCCTGGCTGGGCCGGGCCGCTCCCCTCGCCGCACTCAGCCCAGACCCCCTGCGCTGCCCTAGAGCCACGCCGGCGCCCACAGCATGTTTGCTGAGTGACTGACCCAAGGTTGGGCCCGGCCGGCTTTGACTCGGGACCACTCTCCTGGGAGAGGACGGGGTAGGGGTCGGGGCCTGAAGGAGGCCCCCCCCCCCCGCAGAAGGCCCCAGGTCCGCCAGACTCAGTGGGTTTCCGCCAGGGTCGCAGCGGCCGCGCGGGCGATGGGGACTGCCGCCGGACACTCATTTGAGGCCGAGGGGAGGGGTCCAGCCAGGACCACCAGGACCCGGGGCCTCGCCACCCTCCGGAGCGACGCCGGGGTCCCCGACCCTTGACCCGGAACCCCCCACTGCTGACCCACGGCTGCCCGACCCTTGACCTCGAGCCAGAGAGACGTGGCTCAGGGTCAATGGGCGCCCGCACTGGCACTCACCTGGATGCTCTGGAAGTCCTGCTGCAGCTCCTCCCAGTCCCGCAGGCAGTCCCCCAGCGGGCCCGGGACCGGGGAATGCATGGCTGCCGGGGCCACGCACCGGACAAGCCGAGT